CACACGGCCACAATAATCAAGAAGCTCACCGTTAAACCGTCATTTCAGCGATACATTTTTCTTTAAATTTTTTTTCTTTTCTCCAATTTGCGTTCGATTGGTAGGTTCCAAACAGGTTTCCACACCGCAATTGTGAATATATTTGTTGTTTCCCCTTGTGAGATAAACACGCAACAAATTTTAACCACTTTCATATACCTTAATGTTAAGTGAATAATATAAATTACCAGTTCTCTATTAGTCATTCGCGAGCTTGAAAATTGGTACATAACCACATCAAGTTGAAAGGGCAATTTTTATGGAATCGTTAAAGAAATGTTAGAATCTATATTTTAAGTTTTTCTTACAGAAAAAGTAACATACTTTCAAACACTCTGCATATTTGTGTCAAATCTGAGAATAAATATTAAATTCAGTTTTTGAAGTGTAATGCTAGTTTGATTTACTGACTATATCTCGTGCCTCTTGATTACGTGGTCTGCCCCCAGTTAATGAGTGTCTGAAGGCTTCATTCTCGCTTGTAATTTAATTATTGTTCTATTGATCATGCAGATTCCTGGAGTAGGTAATTGCGCGTTCTGCGTGATTCAGCCATAACAACAGTTGAAATCACAGCTTCTGTGTTATGTACATTGTTAAACGTGGTAGATAATTATGCGCTGCCGTGATGTACCTTAGTGATTCTGTAATTAATATTTGTTCACATTGATTCAAACTGTATCAGATCATTACATACTTGTTCTGCAATTGTAGACAATAGTTTTATTACAAAAGTATGGTGTATTTTCGCAGTGAACTTATTATTTAAAAGTTAAACAAAAATAACGTAATCTTCAAAGCAATTTAAAAGTGTCCATCACCCGGGTTTTCGCAAATTCTGACCGTTTTGAAGACGTGGCCCAGATAGAAGATAATACTTATGTAAAGATTGTTTAAATGTATGATTCGTACAATACTAAAATCCTTTGAGACGTAAACCGTATTATTCGAATGTAGGGAGGTATTTTTTGTGCTTCATTCCATAATTTTTATAGCTCGTAGGTTATATAAAGTTTATAAACACCATAAAATTCAATATTTGCAAAACACGTAGTTGCTGTTGCATAATTACGTTGAATTTCCTAGTATTCAAAAGGTCCCTGGTTACACTTTGCCCTTTCCAATAATAATATAATGATTAATTAAAACCCTTTTTGTTTTATGTAAATAAGTAATATGAAGTCGGGTTTAGAAACAACCCCCGACACGTGACGAATATAAAATATACCTCAGACCATGAAGATACGCAAGATAATATTTTTCTGAGTTGGAGCTTGTATCATACTTTCTGAAATGAATGGCCTTTTGTTGTTTGTTCAATTACGTGCTTCTGCAAAATGATTTTGGCGACTCGTTCAACTACAAGACCAGTCTTTATGATGGTATTGTTACATGATTCTGTGGCAATATGTTATTACAAAGCCATTCGTGTACATATTGACCCGTTATCTTAAAGGCCAGTATTTGAGGCGAATTGCGTTTTATTGCAGCAGTTTCCAATAGCAAATATGGAAATTAAAGAACATTAAAAATGTAAAATAATGTTCGAAATTGATGTAGTATTGTAAGTACCAAGTTGGTTTTACATATATATGAAGTGCATTTCGAATGGGAAAGGAATTTCGTGTTTTTTTGCTGTGAAAGCAGCTTAAAAAACACACATGGGCCGAGATACCATCGGTCTACAAATATTATTCCAGAGCTGATGTAGGGCGTATGTGGGATGCAATTTCATTATGGTTGATAATTTTAAAATATATCTTTTTAAGCAAACTTTCGCAACCCCGAAAGTTTGTTACAGTCTTGAAACACGTGTAACACAGAAATTAACATATACGTATCTAAACTTATTATGTGGAATTATAATATCCTGTGTCGCACCGTAATAAGAAACTTTCCATAAAACATGTTTAAGTTAATGAATGTAAAATATCCGAACTGCAGAATCGTATTGTCTGTCAGGGGATACACTTAATATACTATATAAGGGTCTAACATTACAAAATAATGAATATTTAATATTACTAGGCAGTGCACACATTTTGAACATACAGACACATAATCTGTGGTAAAATCATCTATACTTTGAAGATTTCTGTCTTATGGTTTGTTGCGCCGTGTAGTATGGTAGATGTTTACCAACGTTTCAGAGGTCATACTGCCTCCGTCATCAGGGCGATTCATCGCCCTGAGGACGAAGGCAGTATGACCTCAGAAGTGTTGGTAAACATCGACCAGACTACACAGCGCAACAACCCAAAAGAAAGAAATCTTCATACTCACCGCTATGAAAACCTCAAATCTTACATCTCTACTTTGTTTATTTATGACTTATTTAACAGCACTCTCAGTAACTTATATTATATGGCGCCAAGTAGTAGAATGGTTAACGGATAATGGACCTGAAAAATATGGAAACAAACTAAAAAGTATTTGAGGTTATCACGGAGGTGAGTACGAATATGGTTGTCCTCTGGTTTTATGAATCATCGTCCTGATGATGGAGGCAGCAAGAGCCCCTGAAACGTTCGTAAATGTCTACCAGACTATACGGTGCTACAACCCGCAAGACAATCAACTATCTTCATGGAAGGAAACGATCATGGCTTATTCTTATTCTTCTTAAAGTGCCTATTCGTTCCGGATGTTGGCGATCAGCATAGCAATTTGAGCTTTACTGGTTGCTACTTGAAACAGCCCTCCAGTGGACATCGAGAACCAAGTTTTTAGGTTCTGAAGTCAGGAGATTCTTGGCCTGCCAGGTCCCCTCTTTCCGAATACCTTTCCCTGGATTATCAGCTGAAGCAGCCCGTATTTACCACTATTTCTCATGATATGACCGAAATATTCCAACTTTCTCTTTGTTATGGTGTTAACAACCTCGACGTCTTTGCGGAGTTTCTCGAGAACTTTTTTGTTGGTTACACGGACAATCCAGGAAATTCTGAGAATACGTCGGTACAACCACATTTCGAAGGCTTCCGTCTGTTTTGAAGAAGCTTCGGTCAACGTCCACGATTCAGCGCCGTATAAAAGCACAGAGAGAATATAACATCTGAGTAGTCTTAACTTGGTGCTTAAGTTTAAGTCTCTACTCCTGAACACTGATCCCATTTTGATGAAAGTGACTCTGGCTTTTTCGATACGGCACTTTATTTCCAAGGTGTGAACCCACCGGTCATTAATTGCGCTGCTCAAGCATGTATATTTCGATACTCTATATTTTCTTATTATTAACTACTAGCTGACCGGGTAATACAGCACTTTACAGATGAACATGAGCTTCGTTTTTTTTGGTTTTTTTAATGTTAAGATCTAAGCCGTGGTTGGTACTGACCTTCACAATACGATCCATCAATTCTTGGCTTATTATAAAGTAATATTCCGGCATTTGCGTAAAAACCGCCCAGAACCTCAGTCAGTATAATCGGTTTCTGGTCCGGTGTTTGAATTCAGAGCCTGCTGAATACGAAACAGAACGCTGTACACTCGGTCGTGACATTCAGTAACTTTGGAAAAGTTTATAAGACGCTGTAAGCCAGCAGAATGAACTTCGTTATTT